AGCAAAAGTCAGAACCTCTACAGTATGGCTGCAAGGCCTTGCTATGTGAAGACGTAGACATACATAGACAACGTCTCAGAATCTCAACATTGATCCTTGGAAGACAGTCAAACAAAACACCCAGATCAACAATTTGACACGTGGCGTTGTTGGTCTCCTTGACCAAGTAGACTCTTTTCATCACTAGGCTCTTCACCGCCTACAACCACCGCTACCTTCGACTCGCTGCGTAGCTGGCCCTCGCGTATGCCTCCCTCTTCGCCCTCGTCGCAGCCCTTTGATTCAAGCTTTGACCGATTTCGGGACGCGATCCGCGTCGAACCTGTGAGCCACGACGCGCACTCGGACAGCCACGTGGAAGCCATGGCGACGAAGAGTGATACCTCAACGGTGCCTGAGCGGGGTTGGTTTGTGTCGGGCTCTGTGAAGCCCGTGATACGGCATTCTTCAGATTCCCCAACCATTTCTTTGAGACCTAATTTGATCAGGTCAAGCCATAAAACGATGTTTTACCATGGTACCATGGTGTTTTACCACATTTTTGGAGGGTTGTTCCATTTTCCTGATGCTTCACTCCTCCGGGAGCTGGGGGAACCCAGCGGGTTCAGATGTCTACCCCGTATATAGGTCCACTCCTCCATCCGTGTGAACGGGGCCGCATGGATCTCGACCGTTGGGGCGGATCTCGAACGGTGTGGGGCGTTGGGTTTCTGACGTTTCGACACTTCCAGGCTTCCCGTCCGTTCCGGACCGTTGAAGCAAAATGGGAGCTGGCTTGACCTGGTTGTGTAGTAAAACAGTAAAGCAATGGTTGTTCGGTAAATGAGGCCATAGTCAGCCTATTCAATTACTGGGCCAGGAATCCTAGGGTATAGCCCTGCCTTCACCACCGGGAGAAACAAGGGGCGTGTGCGACGGTATGTCTTCTCGAGCGAGGAGCTCAAACCGTTTGGTGACATCCCCTTACCAAAGGACTCGATTCATGTTCGTGGTTGTGGACCCAACGTGCCGTGCCCGTCCTCCACACATACGTCAGTCTCGCGCGTTTGACGGTCACACTGTCGTGCGGTCGGCGCGTGCGGTCGGTTTCGACCATGGAAGAAAAGGAACATAGACCACAACCAACTTAATGGGGGGTGTCCCTTTTTGAGCTTCACACCCGTCTCTGCATGGAGACCTGACGCAAAGGAGAAGGTTACCATACAAGTCTAACGACCCAGTAAAACCAGGTCGTTTGCTTGCTATGATTTGAATGGTGTTTTGGTATTACCAACTCCAGTAAACTGAGGTCAGACTGACCTGTATACAGCGCTAGTCTTGAGCGTCTCGACCCTTCATGGCATCCGCCGCTTCCGCCGTTCCAGACCGGCGAAAGGTGATGATGCCCAATGAGGCTGGCGCGAGCCCCGAAGAGCTGGGCGAGGGATTGAGGGTGTACAAGATATCGAGGGCGAAACCTTCTTGATATCTGACAAAGGCACATCAAAAGTGGGATCGAGACGCAACATATCGAGACGCAAGGACACAACATGCAGAGCATTGCAGAGCTGATGTTGTACCTCGCCAATTCCAGCATAAAGCAATGAGCTTCTGTGCTTGTTTGGAGACTCGTAGAGCTTCTGCAGATATATCAGAGAAACTGGGACGTGTTTGTGTGTTTACAGCTTGGTCCTAGCCCAGTGCCACTAACAGTTAGAGTTAGAGACCCTTAAACACAGCCTCCTCCCTCTCTCCCTTCCTGCCTCCGCATCGTCATTATCATCCAGGAGTGACAAAGGGGTGGGTTTTTAGTCCCATGCAGTGAGTGGATGTGACAGGGGCACCCAACTCAGAACCGCCAGAGCTGAGCTCTGCGACTCTTGTTTGGAATCTGAGCTTGGTCGTGGTTTCTGATCTGCCTCTTGACAACACTCACAGGTGGCCAGCCACAAGTCTAGCTTCACTGACCTAAGTGACGTCCCGGCCATGCGGGGGAGGACCCCGACCGGTCACCGGGGTGGGTGACAGAGGAGCGGTTTCGAAGGTTGGAGGCCAAAAAGAGAGGGTAGAATTTGGGTGAAGAAGCTTGATGACAGATGAAAACACAGTAGGAACAAGTACCTTACTAGTAGTAACAAGAAAACACAGGTGAGAGAAAGATGCATCGGGCCTCGGGTGAGAAAAAATAGATGCACCACGGAAGAACGAGATGCATCGATCAGAGCAGGAGCTTTCTCGGCTTAGCCGGCAGACCAAAAACGAATAAGACAATGGATCCCGAGACATGAACCCTGAGAATCAAGCCCAGAGCATCCATCGGATTGGGATAGTGACATACATTTACCCCATGAAAATGACCCATCCATGTAGGTAACTCTTGAAACTATTGCAACTATTCTGCGTCCCATTCTGGGCTGGACGCGCCGGTGAAGGGGAATCACTTCACTCGTCCGTCCAACGCCCACGGTTCGTCCGCCGGGTCTGCGGTTTGCAGTGCTCTCCAGACGTGGTCGGGTCCAGTTTGATGGTTTAGGAACGTGAAGGAAGATGTTTCTGTTGGGCCATGTTGGGCCAACAGAGGACCAGAGGACCAGAGAGGCGGGTCCCAATATCCACGAAGCAGATCATGTAGAAATCTGCAGAATCTTGATGATATCAATTATATATTAACATCAACAAACATATCATACCCCCCGAAGCCTGAAGAGGCGTAACGCAGCGTTGACCATCCAAATCGGAGGTTACTTGACCTGTGGCTTCTACGCCACACGAAGTGGGTCGGTCAGGGTATCGGGGGATCGGTGGCAGATGGGCTGCCCCAGCGGGTCGTCACGAACCCGGGGCGCCTCCCGCGGAGAGCAGACCACCGGTCAGCGGGAGCAGACCACCGGTCGGCGGGGCATCCCGGTCCCAAACAGGTGAACTTACTAAAAGGATATCTTCACAAGCTCCAACCACCAGAGTCAAGCATTTGGTGATTTCATCGTCTTGAACTTCCATCGTCTTGGACTTCCAGCGACAGTGAGGTCCACTGGAATTGGATGTGAAGCGTCCGCTCGGGATGTTCAGATCGATCGAGCGGACGCTGTCCTCGGACGCTTGTGAGGACGACATGGTGCACTGGCACGCCACAGTTCTTGGGGAACGAGGCCAAGAGGAGAGATCAGGAAAAGACGGAAGTTTGATCAGTTTTGTTGAGTCATTGACAGGAGGGATGTTTCTAGACCCTTTGAGCTGGTCTTTTGTGTTTATAACAGACTTTGCAGGGAGGACTGTCCTCCGAGCCCTGCGGGTTCAGCCTTGCAGGTCTTAACCAGTTCGGACTTGAAGCAGCAACGCACTGAGAGTGGTTTGACGCAGAATGTCAAGACACGTGGATGTCTTCCAGCAGGCTGTATGTTTATTGTCTTTGTGCTTCTAGAGTTTTGTTTCCCATGCTCAGAGACAGAAAAGCATTGCAACTCCTGGTACCGCCTGCAGTCTCCAAAGTACCCTGGAAAATCCCAACTGTGTTCGGATGGTCCATCGAAAACCTCACGAGACTTGGAAGCCATGCCTGCAGTCTCCAACACTTCCCTTCACGCCCCGCCACGCACCGCCACGCATCGGCGCGCATCGGCGCGGAGCGTCGGCGAGAATGATTGGAGCACCTTCAAAGACCTACACTGGAAACACCCGTGGCAGACCAGAGAAAACAACCAATAATACCCCTGCTAGTCCCCCTGCTGTTTGCAGGATCACGCAGCGCTCCACCACCCTGCCAACTGTTCCACTGTGATGCATCGACCAGTCATTAGACCAAATCGGCACTCGCCGACCCCGAACTTCTCCGTGGTACTCCGGGCTATTGCGCCCAGGAAAGACAAGAAGGGAGCATTGCTGCTGGGCGGCAGTCGCGGCCGTCCGGGCGGGATGTCCATGATGACGAAAAAATTGAAGGTGACCTCGGTTCTCAGTGTCGGTCTGAGTCTTTGTCTGTGTCTTTTTGGGGCCAGTCTACCTGTGAAGGGTTATATACCAGGACCCACTGTCGGGGTGGTTAATGGACACCCCTTGACCTCTAAGGAGCTATCAATAGAAACCCCTTAAGGTGTCCTGATATAGGGGTACATGCATGCGCAACGCACGCATGGACCGCTGATCCGGGCTCCCTGAAGGGCTCCCTTCGGTGGTCGGTACCACCGAGGTCCCAGACCGGTCTCCATATGTAGCGGCATCCCATACAAGGGGCATCGTCATGGATGATCCAAAGGTGCTCAAGTGTCCAACATAGTCACAAAAACAAATATAGTCCCAACCATCGGCTATACTGGATACCTGTGTTAAGTCGTCTGGTCTTGTAGAAAGTCGTTTGGATGCCGCGTTTACATTGGGGTTAGATGCAAGATGGCAAAGATGTTCGGATTTCGTCAGAGGTCTCGATCTTACTTTGTCCCTGGCGCCACTGCTCCTCAGCTGCCAGGACTGGCGTGTTTATCCCCACGTGTGCACCTTGGCTCATTCGGGCCATTGGACATTGTTTGTTGACCTAAACCGCCTAAACCTATATATTAAGTTTACATTATATAATCATTCTGTTCATTTGCACATGTGCAGTATATATTGATGCTTTGCAAGTTTTATTGTATCCTTTAACAGAACTGTTAAAGGAAGGTTTGAATTGGGTGGTTTGCGATTGGTGTAAATCACCGCAGAGAATCTCCACTGTCGAGCCCACGACGATTAGACGCGAACACCGCAGACGAGCGGGGCAGGCTGCGGACTGGTGGATTGTGCGGACCCGCAAGTCATACCCAGACACGACCCGTCGGAGGCATATATTCCATACATGGAGCGTCTGTGATATAGATTTGGCACCACGGACTCCAAGAATTTTAGGATCCACAAGATTGTCAAGATGGATCCGGGCAGCTGATCGATCCATTTGGTGGGAAAAGAAGAAAGATAGTTCAACTAACACCTGGTTTTGGCCACTTCTTCCGGTGTTCCCCATCCCTGGCCGCCATCCAGTTCAGGAAAACATGTGGGGCGTGCTCATTTTTCTGCGCTTTTACTACATCGCACCTTGGACCCGACCGACCCCGGACGGACGGGCGGGTTCAACGGACCTTGGCCGAAGGACCAGACCTGAGGGGTATGAGCACTCCGAAGCGAAACATGAGCACTCCTGAGCGAGCGATGATGAAGACCTGTGAGCCACGCCGGTTTTGCAAAGGACCTGCGCGGATCCGAATCGGGTCTGCACGTATGACATCGCAGAAAGAGAATCTGATTCTCCCTCTAAGGCTGGTCAGGCAGGCATTTGGCAAACGCTTTGCGCCGTGTTGCTCTCCTTCACTGCCGCCTTTTGTACCACTGCGGCCCCTTCTTCAGAAGTCGAACGAGTCGATTTTGGTCGGTCGACCTGTTTGGGCTGCCGGCTGGTTCGGGGTGCTAAACCGAAGCGAAGCGCTAGATGCGCGAGCTTTTGGTGCGCGGCTTCGCTTTCTTGTTGCAGGTGACCTCAGAAGTGACACAACATGGGCGATACCGTGGGCCTTTTTGCAAGTCGGGATGTCGGTTGGTGTGTCGATGGACGAAGGTGACCGGTGTGTCTCTAGACGTGTGTTTAGAGGGGACAGCCGGCCACAGCCCGAGTGACAATCCAAGCTGATGGCAAGCAACACATTTTGACAGACATTGGAACAGCCTAGATTTCATTTGTTGAGTTTTAGCACAGTTTAGGCCAGAACGCGCGAACGCGGACTTGAGGTGTTTTGTGATCCTTCAGTTTCATTAATTTCGAGGCTAGTTAAGCACTTTGCTAGTTTTCCTCCTTCTACTGTACCTGAGAGAGTATTTTAAAAAGCTACATGTAAGAAATTGGTATTCGCATCAAAAAGATAAACCCCCGATGACTGTGGAAAACCCTTGACATGCCAGGAGTGGTGTGAAGAAAACGCGTGCACACACACAAACAGAAAACCACTACTGTTCCAAATTGTCAGGGTCAATGCATGACTGCTCTTGGTTGGTATGTGCTTGGACAGAGGTGGGAGGACGTGGACCGCTGTAGCCTTGTGCTACAGCAGTGTTGTGCCACATGGTTTTCAACTTGCACCAGGCATGAACGCGACAACAAGAACGATAACACAGCGAGCCCAAAACACCTTTCCGTAGGCAGGCCACCACATGGGTGTAGCTGGAATGAAGTGTGCCTAATGTCTTCATGCCTGCAAGCTTCCACACACCACATCCATGTAGCGCACACACTGCATTATTACATTTATTGCAGTTTGTCAAAGTACAGTCAGAGTGCTGTAAAATGACAAGGAAGAAACACCGATAACAGCAAAAGTGGTATAGGGAAAGATTAGAGGTTTTTTTCTGTATACACAACCTCACCTGTTTGTGGACATCGCCAACAGTATCGTGTCCCGTATCGCTCAGGCGATGTCATCGATTGCTTCGTCCGGCGGTTTGGTGAGCTCTGGAGGGCCTTACTACATGATCTCCCGCGCACTAGGCGTCGTCTTCATGGCGTCGAGACCCGATGTCTTTCGGATTCGTTTTTTGGGACGCACGCCCGAGTGAACGCGCAGAGGTGGCCACCGTGTCTAGCGTTAAAGGCAGGTCACCGGTTTAGACTGGTGACTGGTGTGTGTTTTTTGGGGGTCTGGCTCGGGGAGAGGATGCGAGAGCGTGCTTTGAGACATTGGGTGTTGGGTCTTGGGTCTTTCGCAGGTCGGCCCATGAATAGAGAGTGGATGACTGGTGCAAGCTTTGTTGGTGGGTCAGATGTGAAGCCATTTTTTATCCTAGCAGTTTAGCTTCAAAATGCTTCAAACGTCTTCAGAGTTCACAACCAAGAGATGACCATTCTTGGTACTGGTATCCGCTTAATCTGAACTCCAGCACTAATTCTATGTGTTTGTCTATTATAGATGTTTTTTTTTGGTTAAATTGTTTGCAAAGAAACCCTGATGCCATTCTGATGACGCATCTTCATTGCCAAGGATTCGTGATCGTCTCTTCGAAATCTCATGATTTATCCTTGCCAAGTAGGTTTGCCAAGAGAGCTTCAGAGGCTCCTGTGGGTTTCATTTGAAAGATGACTCGACCCCTGTACTATGTACACCACCACCCTGATCTAAAAAAAAGATCACACGCTCAAGCTCGCGCGTTCGCTCGCTCGCGTTTTCGCTCGGGCGGGTGGACCAGGACAGTCGGGGGGATGACGGGACGGCCTCAGGGCCTGTGATTGGCGCCACGATTGGAATCATGTACTGGTTGGCCATCACCATGCTGTCAGTCCCTTGGGCAGCAAAGAAACCCCGTTTGCAAAACGAAGTCGACCGGGAGGCGAAGTAAGTAGCCTTATTAAGCTTATATAGTACACTATATAGCTCGATTTTGGTATGACTTTCATGACATCTACTTTCCGTAGATATGCCTAATGTGATCAGAAACTCAAACTGTTTGGTTTGCACGACCATGCGGGTTAAAGGTCATGGACAGATACATAGTTGTTGCTGTTCTTCGATATGTTGCGAGTCGAGATTCTGGACCGAAATTTCATTCAATCCTTGTGCTTGCGCGCTGGTGTGCATGTGTCAACTCCTGTCCCCAAGGAGCTCTGTCACACCTGTACAGCTAAGCAGGGGGGCAGAGAGGACGTGCAAGGAGGCTCTGCCCAACGAAGCTCTTTGCACCAGGAAGCGGGAGCTGATCACTCCTGTGTACCTGCTATCACTTTCATTTGCTCTATTTGAACTGTCCACTCCGCTGTCCACTCCAAAAGTGCTACAAAAGCGCCTTTGTTCAAAAATTCTGTTTGGCTGACGCTTCACCTTTCCGTTCTGCAAGTCAAGGTCTAGCTTTCAGTAACGTAAAGTGCTAACCTCACGGGAGTTTCCAAACTGATACGGCTCTTGCGAGCATGGATCTAAGTGCGTTTCGCAACAGGGTCCCACTATGTCCCGCTGAGGTCTGTTGTGTGATCCCTCAGGGGTGCGTTGAGCATAGACCCTTAAGGGGGATGTCGTTCCTTTGAGCAAGCGTTTTGCAGGAACCACTCAGGATTATCGTCCCTTCTTGCGATTGCTCCTCGATTGCCGCAGGGCCCACTGAAAAACACTCACAGAATGAGATGACATGCTGCTAGTGTATTCTTTTGCAAGTTTCATCCTGAGTGATTCATGCACGGTCTTGCTTTCTCTCCTTCTAGGGTCTTTTCTCTTTCTAGGTGTTCGTTCGTTGCTAGAGCTTGTTCGGTTTCAGTCAAGGGTGCGCCGGATTTGGCTTCATGCCCGCAAGGGCTTCAACCCCTCCCCGCACGCACCCCCCACCCCCCCGTTTGTTAGGTCTTCTTTCAGGCTTGTTAGGTTGCGTTTAGGCTCGTTTTGTCGATCCACAACCCCCCACTCGGCAGAGGAGCGCGAATTATGGAGGAAGCGCCGAATACGGCAGGATGGAAAAGACTTTGGTCGATCACGGTCCGCCGTGGGTCTCCAGGTGGACCAAGAGGAGCCTTCCTTTTTTCGACAGATGTGTTGCGGCGATTGGAGCATCCTAGCGGTCGCAATTCATGGACAGATCACAAGGACACCAAGACACCCTATACAGTTACAGCAAGCCGAAGACAATACTGCAAAACCGTATTTTATTGGACATAGACTTGTGGAAGCCACCCCTGGTCCAATTGTCGAATTCTGCACCCACAAACTACACCCGTGCAGTCATCACACGGTGCCTCCCAGACGCACTTGATTGGAAGTCCCAAAGACAAACAGAATGCAATACATGCTATGTCATTGACCACATGATTTGCAGCATGAACTAATCAAACATCTTGAACCTGGGCTGGCTAAGTCCAAAACTTTCAAGCAAAGCCAACATGCACATGCCACCACTTGCCCCAGATGTTTCACCACTCAGCGCCTTCGGTGTGTGGATTTTATATGATTTCATGATCATCACCCGGTCACTCTTGTTTTTTTCTTGGTGTGTGTGTACCTCTGAATACAATAGTCCTCGTCTCCGGATGTGATTTTGCACGTGTTTTGGTGCCTGGCTGCTGCTATGACTGTCTACCCATTGGTTGGCTGTCCCCCTCTTAAAATACATTTTCGTGGCGGGCCCCCGGGCCCCGTCGTGTCGTTTTTGTTTGGTTCCGAAAAGAGGTGATCTGGGGTATCGAGTGGACCACCCCACAGCCCGGGGAAACCTGGTTGTTTCATGGTCCACAGACTCGAGGTCTTAGAATGCTTGGGCGCCATCGAGGCGGTTGAGGGCACGGTGGCGTTTTCGAAAACGACGACGACGATCCGGTGTGGTGTTTGACCATGTGTTGGGTTCTAAGTCGTTCCTATCTCAATATGAAGGATGCCATTCCTATCTCAAGTTTACGATGTATACCCTCCCTGAAACCATGAAGTGGAAGTGGAATACAGCCTGTTCGTAGAGGAAAACGGGCCATGTTCCACGTAACATCACGTAACCATGTTTAATGGATGGAGGGTAGACATGGGTAGACATGCTGTCATGAAACATTCCCCAAGAGTCTTGCCCTGTTCAACTCGTTCGTTTTTGACGCCGCACCCTCCAGGCATTGGCGATGGCGGCACCCTCCGTGCAATTCCCAGGCGCGCGGCAGAACGAACGCGGACAAATTTGGAAGAGCTTCAGTGTAGGGGGGGATACTAGTAGAAGCGAAGAGAGACCTAGAAATTGGTGCCAAAGTACATTGACCAAAGGAAGCTCCAAACCCCCCAATTGATGAGGTGCGACCAACATAAAGAGCACTCCACTTCTCTTTTTTCGTCGAACATCATGGATGTGGTGCAGTTCGATCCAATTTGTTTTTTTCCGCTCAACCGGGTTAACCTTATGGTCAGTGTCAACCTTCTCTCTTTCAGCCAGATGGTTTTTGGTCTGTTCTGTTCTGCTCAAAACCTTCTGTTCCTTTTCGGCCAGAAAAAAAGAACATGGCCGCACTTGGCGACCCCGCACTCTGCACGCAAGTCTCGGACCGCGCGGTGTTTGTTCTTTTTGGTGGCCAACGTCTCTCTGCTGCGACTGCGCCGTATGTCGTCTCTCTGCTCCGACCGCGGGTTCTCCAGGTTATCGACAAGCACTGGGCTCCGCCGCCATGGCCTCTTTGGCCTTCGCGGTGTGGGGAGGCGACGACCAACGGTACCGAGATGGGACCGATCCCGACGTGGTGATGTCTTCAGATCCCGACGTGGTGAGACCTGCTCCAGACTTGTCTGACTGAGGGTGGTTTTGGGGTGGAATCCAGTCGACTATGCCGTTTGAGGTACGACTGGAGGTGGTGTAGGGTATGGAATGGAAGACTGTTGATGTTTGATGATGTGAACGCTTGGATTGGCGAGACCACGCTCGAGCTCGATTCATCGATGGGGAGACATGTGGAGATGGCATGCTTGCAAGAAAAGATGTGTGGCTCCTGTCGAAGGACGAGTTCTAAGACTTGCATTTAGAGGACATAGAGTAAGCTTTCTAGAATTCAGAGCATGCCAGCTGGACCAGAAATGCTCACAAAAGTAAATTGTTGGTTGCCTTTTGGGATGCTTTGTTGCTTCAAGCAATCACTTCAACAATATAGGTGACGTGAACATCGTTGAACTGTTCGGCCTCCATGGACAATGGAGAATCGCAAATGGATGCAAATGGCTATGGATCAAAACCCGTTGAACCGTCAGAATGAGCCTCATCGACTATCAGGAAGGTCAACCAACTAGTGTGTTGAAGACTCGCTCTTGTGCAACAAACCGCACATATCCTAGCCCGTCTGTGTGGGAATGGTCGGAGCGAACAGTGTTTGGACCGGTCTCACCCCATCCCTGGGCTGCGAGAGGCATCAACATCGTCACCAAGCTGGGCATGCTGTTTGCGCTGGTGGTGGTCTTTACACTCTTTAGCTTCTATCTTGGCCTCTTCATGACACAGCCAGGCGTCCGTCCGTCGCGCAAAAGATGCATTTTTTGCACCTGTGGAACATGGATCATCTTAGAACGCTGGAAGTTGACGACGGCAGGGTTCACCTGCTCAGGGAGTGTAGATCTCATGAATTGTTCCTTGCGATCATCAGGAACTCAAGGCCCATTGGCTCCTCCATCTCCAGCTGAGCACATCCGTTTCACGTGAAACGGTTTGTCCACCGTTTCCCGCGCGGTGAGGCGCTGGGGGTCCAGATGTTCCCGGCAGTGAATACATCACAGGACTCAGCTGGGCACCTTGGATGTTGTTGGATCAGGATTTGGGCGGTGTACATGGGTGTGTATTGAAATAGGGAGACCTCCCAGGCAACGACCTCCCTGAAGAAGGGAACATACACCCAGGTGTACATGAAAACCATTTGATGAGGAGCGCATCCCAACGCTCGGATTGAGTGGGTGGAAAGACCAGACACGGACGCCCACACATGTCTGATGTTTTGGGGTCCCAAGCAATATATATATATAATCCACCTGGAATTGTAGGCACTTGCACTTTATGAGAAGTTTCATGGCAAGAAGAAGCACAAGCTTTGACATGCCTGGCGCTGGCCAAGCTGCTGCAGCTGTGGAAGTCTCCGAGGACACGTTTCAGAACAACTGGAGCCCTCACTATGATGAGGGCGTTCACTTCGGCTCTGTCCTCAGCCTCTTCTATCCATGCTTTACAGGCGCAGAACCGGAGAGAACGGGAGGGACACACTCGGTCGCCGCATGATGTCGTGCGCAGTAGACAGAAACACATCGGAGCAAAACAAACTGAACAAGCAATTTGTTTATCACTTGGGCCTTTGTTTTTCTATGTCTAAGGAGAAGCACACCAAGCTTATACCAAGCGTGAAAGGAATCTGTATCGCTTTATAGATTTGTATGCACTTGTCCAGACACTCCCGATGGGACTGCCATTGTTGACTCCAGAAATGGCCAGGGGTCGGAGGTCTTTCGATCTGGGGCGGCATATCTTCCAGTCCTATGATGGCTTGGTTGAAGGTTTCGATGTAATCTGCTACTCAAGTCCAGTCCCAACTAGATAAGCCCTAACGACATATATCATCATCACACATCAAAAAGGGCCTCTGAGTTTATGGTGGATGAATTGCTTGTATATAGGACGTTCCAAAAGGGGGCAATCGGATTCGCAAAAGGACATCAGGGCATCGGAAAGGCTTGGACCCCTGAAACTGTGCCAGTTCTGTGTTCGCTTGCGCTGCGAACCATGACCTTACTACCATACTTGAGACAGCATGACCCTATACGTTTGCATGTGAAGGTCGAACTCATTTGCCACAGAGGCATCGGCATGGACGTTGATGGGCCAAAACTTGGGCATCACGCAACAAGATCCGTTTGGGAGTATCCTCATGCTTCCTCCTGCGCGACAGTCGCTGCCCGGTTTCCTTCATTCAACAAAAAGGCAGCTCGGCTCCCGCATCAAGTGGTACAGCTTTGCTCCCTTCCGACATGAATTGGCTTTATCCAATCAATCCCCCTAAAAGCAGAACACATGTAATTCTCGGAACAAAGTGAAAGTCAGAAACTCTTTTTGTGAGCACCACTTTCTAAGTGGTCGAACCCCCAAAACCCGAGCTTTCGGGATTGCACCCCGGCTTGCCACAGAGAACACCTTGGAAGAGATACATGGAACTTGAAAATCACTGGTTTGTGGAGGAAGCTAATCTTCCAAAGGAATGGATTCCAGCTCAATCTTCCTCGTCCTCCTCTCTTCTCGAACGCCAGGCATTTTGAGCGGCGCGAATCGAGCCGACGTGCTCAAGGCCCGTTTCTTTTTCCGCAAAAAACACGTGGTTCGGTCTGTTTTGCAGGGTTTCATGGTGAGAGTTCATTTGGGCACGCCCTAGGGATCCAGGTACTTGGACCTCCAATGGCTACATCATTAACAGTGTCTCCAATCACCGTACCTGAGAAGGTACGACTGGATCCTTGTGGGGTATTAGAATAGGGAGACCTCCCAGTTCAACCCCCTGGAAGAAGGGAAATAGACCAAAACATACCAAAAACCGATTGGTTGGAGGTCTCGCTATTGATGCTAATACACACCCATTTGTTTGAGAGAACACCAGTCACCAGTCCACATAGAGAGTGGAATTGTCCAGAAATCTGACATTTCAAGATGTCGCCGAGAGTCTGGTCAAACCATCAGTTCCCTTCCATCGAAGCTCCTCCTCCTCACCGGAAGAACGCGCCCGACCAAAACGGCGAGGATCCCCCGCGAAACATCCGCCTCGGTACCTTTGCGGCGATCCTGCCTTTTGGACGGAGCCGCGCGCCGCCGGGCCCCGCGCCGGGCCGACCTTGGCGGTGAGTCCAGGGCGCCGGAGCTGGGGGAGTCCGTATGGGAACATCTAGAGCTACATAAAGCTACATCATGACATCACAAAAACACATCAGGGTTGCCTCACAAATTCCAAGATCGGAGTCTTGGACGAACACTGACGAAGGTTTCTTTGAGGCACAAAAAGGGCACGACACCTTTTTCTCTGCGTCAACCGGAGGTCCGGATGGAGGGTCTTCTTGAACACCATCCCCGGACCCTCTATGTGTGGAATAGTTGCATGCATCATTGACCCCACGAACATGGCACTCAGTGTATATAGATCTGTGAAACTAGCATGGCTGTGGCATGAACACCTTGACACCAATTCCCTGCGGTGATTGTGGCCCAATCCCAGGGGCCGTAGCTTCGTGCGACCTTCAGGTCCTTTTTACCCTGGATGGCCTAGGAAAAGCTTCGCGAGCCTGGCAGCCTCTCCACTTTGACAGTGGTAGCGCGAGCTACTGGGCGTGCGATAGCCAGGAGCCTTTGGGGAGGACGACTTGATGGGGGACGTCGAGCAGGGCTTTTCGAGAGCGGCCGGAGGCTACGCTTCCACCAGTGGAGCGGCAGGACCACGGACGGAGGCGGGGAGAGACCGGGATCCCCCACCGGGGTACGATGGGATAGATCCTGAAACTACTTTCCGCCAGTACGAGAAGCAGGTAGCGCTCTGGGAGTTTGAGACTGATGTTGCACGAGCAAAGCGGGGCGTGAAGCTCCTCCGTCAGCTCTCAGGCATAGCCCAGACCGCAGTGGACCACCTCGAGGTCGACCAGATCACCGGGGAGGACGGCGTCAAGAACCTCTTGACGGCTTTGCGGGAGTACTTCAACCCGCATTTAGAAGTTTCCCTTCCTCGGGCCTTCGAGGCCGCAGTGTACGGTGCACCACGAGCTTCCAAGGAGACCTTTGGCGAGTTCACCAAGCGAATGGAGAGGGCATTCGTGAACCTGGCCAAGGAAGGTGTTGATCTACCAGATGGTGCACGGGGGTACATCATGTACCGTCAGGCGTCCCTGTCCGAGTCTCAGGAGCAACGACTTTTGACATGGGCCCAAGGCTGCTATGGGCGCAAGGAGATGACAGTGGCCCTCCGCAGGTTAGATAAAGTCATCCGGGACAAGGAGAAGGGGAAGTCCAGCTTCGTGATGGAAGAGGGTCACGAGGCTGAGGTCCACACCAGTGAGGCCTATTTGAATGAGGACTCCGGCTACCCGGACGACGACGATGAGAACTTTGTGTACATCGCGGACGGCGACTTGGATGAAATCATGGACGAACAAGAAGTCGTGCAGGCCTTGGCATCCTACCAGGAGACACGCCAGGCATTGAAAGACCAGAGGCTCAACCGGGGCTACTATCCCGGGAAAGGAAAAGGCAAGCTCAATGCCTTCCAGAAAGGAAAAGACAAGGGCAAGCGGAAGGTGCACATCGAGCAGCTGAAGCTTCGATCAAGATGCAAAAGGTGCCAACAAATCGGGCACTGGGCTCGGGAGTGCACCAATCCACCGGCTCCCACAACTGGAGAAGGCCGAGCTTTCTTTGTTGGCTTAGCCCCTGAAAGCCAGGGCTCCCGCGGCGAAAGAGATTTCTGGCTGCGGCAGTTTTTGCAAGACCAAAAGGGTCAAAGTTCTTCGAGCTCACCAGACAGCAAGGCAGATGCGGCATACACAGAGCACCCGGCATTTTGTGGAATCACCACCAAACCAGTTGAGGGGGTTGTTGATACAGCAGCTGAAGGGGGTTTGATCGGCTCCGTTCCACTTGGTGCACTACAATCCGAACTACATGCACGAGGGCTTCAAATACGATGGACACCCAAAAGATCACAAGCAAAGGGAGTAGGCGGCAATGCACAGGTTCTTGGAGTGGCTCTGATTCCTATTGGGCTAGGGGGCATCAATGGAGTCTTGGAAACCACGGTGATAGAGGGTGATGTGCCTTTCCTCCTTCCCATTCGGATGCTTCGCGCTCTCGAATCGTTGATCGACTTGAAACGTTGCACTTTGACACTACAAGCACACGGCCGAGTCATAGATTTGAACGTTTTGCACAGTGGACACATCACGGTGAACATTTTCTCATTTGCCAACGGCCAGTTCATCACACCGGAAGAAGTCGATGCATCCATGTCTTTTGAGCTGCAACCTCAATGTTTCATGTCAGCTATGAGTTCTCAAGGAGAGCGCAATTCGCAATTCGCTCACGAGCCAAGCCCCGCACCTTTCCCACTTCGGCACCATGGCGGGCATCCTCCAGATGGCAAGAGGCTTAGTGGGAAAGCATCCAACGGTGGATCCTACACCGATGGACACCGGAGCTCGTGTTGTGAACCCAAAGGTTCCACTCCGGAACTGGAGGGTCGTGTTGGACAAGATTGCCACCATCCTGGTGCTCGCCGCCCTCCAAGGGGCTACGGAAGAGTGGTGTTTGGAGTTGGGGCCATCGCAGCTGGCATCCAAGTCGGCGGACAGCATCGAGGACTACTATGCCGAGGTGATCCTGCGCGCGGCTCCATTGAAGCCGCTGAAGTCGAAGACAGACCCTACAGTCTCGGCGAGTTCATGCATTCACCCGAAGGCCCAACTCCGTGGGGGAGGCAATGGAACCTCCTCGTACGTGGTGTGCCGAGCATGCCATTCCAGATGGGCCCTAGAAGGAAGAGCAGCCGAGATCCGGAAGCAACTGAAGCAAGGCCCCTTGAGCACACAACAGGACAGCCCATCCAAGACTCGAGGAGCTATGAGTTCGGCGCCCATGACACCGGTGCGAACTGGGGGACAAGCTGCAGACCCGACTTCGCCCATCTTCACTCCACCCATGAAGACACAAGGAGCGATGGTGGAAACCTGGGCTTCGCCGGCGATCTCCGAGCAGAGCTTGCACGAGATGAGGGAGAGTTTGAGGCAGGAGATGGACATGAACAATCAGATCATGCTGCAGCAGTTGAAGAAACGAGCAGGCCGCCTCCATGATCCAAATCTCTCAGGCGAGCTACGCCCAAGTCAACCACCTGGTGGAGGAAGTGAAGAAAACGGCCAACGCCACTCGGAACCAGGAGCTCAGGCAAGAAAAGTTGATGCAGATGCTGCTTCAACTACAGCAGGAACATCGCCCGGAAGCACACCCCGGCGCGGGATCGCAACACTCGCCACCAAGACTGCCACCGGGCTCCCCGTCCAAGGTGATGATGTGCAAGTGTCAAAAACCAGCGGAGATGCTGGTAGTGAAGAAGGAGGACAATCCCCGCAAAGGAAGGAAGTTCTGGAAGTGCGTCCTCCGCAAGTGCGACTACTTCGAGTGGGAGAACGAGATGGACGGCATGAGCGACGGGAAGAAGGCGGTCGTCCCGGAAGAGGTGGAGGTGCAGACAGTGGCTTCATCCCTGAACCCAAGGAGGTCGAAGAGCCCGAGATCGGAGGGGGTGGTTCCTGCGGTCGTGAGCATGTCAGCTCCATGCAGCAACTGGTCCAGGGTCTCCCAAGGATCCCGGAAGCATCCGGAGTCAGTGGTGATCGTCGACGACGAGGAGATCTAGGAGCTGCTTGGCAACGCTGTGAGGGCAAGAAAGGAGTCCGCTGGGCGAGAAGAGCTCAACGAGGAGACAACCCGTTCTTCGTGGTGGATAAGGAGCACTACGTGATGGTGAATGGAGAATGGGAAAGGGCACATGGAAATATTGAACCAGGTGCCAAGTCTGTCTATGTGAGGGCTTCGCTCACACCACGCGGGCAGTTAGAATGTGAAGAAGATCGGTTCAATGACCAGAAGCTGAACCGGTCTGAGAGAAGAAGATTGGCAAAGGCCATGAGAGACAGGAGTGAAGCCGTGAAGATCAGTGAACTATATGGCCCAGGCCGCATACAAGAAGCAGCAGAAGACCTGAGAATGACTACAAGCAGCTGTTTTGACCTCCTCACCGGTTGGGACCTATCCCAAGAAGCACAAAGGAAGGCCATGTGGAAGGCTTTGCGAGAAGAGAAGCCCGACTTCCTCATAGTGAGCCCACCATGCACAGCATTCAGCCAAATCCAGACCACAAATTGGGCACGCATGCTGCCGAAGAAACGAGTGGCGCTGCTGACCGCCGGGCTGGAACACCTGCAACTGGCAGCAGCGGTGATGAAGTGGCAGCTCAACCGGGGACGACACATCTTGTTTGAGCAACCGGCAGGCGTCACCTCGTGGAAAGAAGCCTGCATCCAGTCCATTGCCCAGAGGCCAGAAGTCCACACCATCGTCAACCACCAATGCCAGTTTGGACTGAACGTGGACGACCTCGGACCAAACAAGAAGCCGACCCGATGGATGTCAAGCTCTCAGAAAGTGCTCTCGCGGCTGAACCGGAGGTGCACGGGGGAGCATCAGCATACCCCACTCCAGAATGGCATGCCAGCCAAGGCTGCAATCTATCCTCCAGAGCTATGCCAAGCAATCGCTCTCGGAGTTGCCGAAGAGATGGAACCCCGCGAATGCTACGCGGTGGAAGAGGAAGATGGCCCTGAAGACGGTGACCCGGAGGAAATCCACGATGAAGAAGGAGATGGTCAAGGGGCCGTAACTGAGGTAGAAAAGAAAGCCCTTCTGAAGGTGCACCGGTCCGTGGGACACCCGCAAAACCAGGAGTTCATTCGTTTTCTGCGAGCAGCTCGAGTTCGGGGTGACCTCATTCGATGGGTTGCACAGGAGTTCAAGTGCGATGTGTGCGAAGCGAACCAGCAACCCAAAGTCCCAAGACCAACAGCACTGCCCCGGGCCTATCAGCCAAACCGAGTGCTCGGAGTGGATCTTTTCTACATTCCGGGTCCAGGAGGAGGAAACAACACCAAGCCTGTGTTGAACATGCTGGACTGGGGAACCAACTACCAGATGTGCGAGATGCTGCCCGGGAAGAACCCAAACGAAGTCTGGGCCGCCTACAGGAGCACATGGGCAAGAACGTTTGGTCACCCTGAGGTCATAGTCTGTGACATGGGCCGAGAGTTCATGGGAGAGTTCATCTCCAAAGCCGCGGCAGAGGGCATAGTGGTCCATCAAATTGCCAGCAAGGCTCCATGGCAACAGGGCAAAACCGAAAGGCATGGGGGACACATGAAAGAGATGATCACGAAGGCCCGCAGCGAGATGGTGATCCAAACGGATGAAGACCTTAAGCTCATGCTAGCGGAGGTGGAGCAGATGAAGAACCGGTACTCCAACCGAAGCGGGTTCGCACCTGTTCAACGACAGATCGGGCAATGGCCTCGGGTGCCTACCGAGATCACGGCAGACAACGCCATAGATCCCACACTGTTGGATGGAGTCCTCACCGATGACATCGAGAAGCTCCATGAAGTTCGAAGGATCGCCCACAAGGCCTTTTGCGAGTACAACGCCGACTCCACGATCAAAAGAGCCCTTCGATCTAGACCAAGAGTCTGGCGAGACTTCAAGGCGGGCGAGTACGTGTACGTCTATCGGGTGCCCAAGGCCCGTAAAAGACGACATGGAGTGCCGGATGATCAGCACGGCACGAAAGCCCGGTGGGTCGGCCCAGGGGTAATCATTACCCCAGACGGGGCAAATGTGTGATGATGGGCGAGCTGTGGAAGGTGTCCAGAGAGCAATGCCGACACGCCACCAACGACGAGAGAATGGGCATCGAGGCGGTGATCACGGAATGCCAAGACCTCATTGAGCAATTCCAAAGGAACCCCGACCGGGCCGCCTACAAGGACATCACTGAAGAAGGATGCCCAGAAGAAGAAGAACATGAAGAAGTTCAAGCAGAAGCTCGAGCGGTCCAATTCGAGCCTCAAGTAGAAGAATATGAACCCACTGAGTATGAGGCACCGGAACCGGAAGATCAGAATGCCCCAGAGGGGACAGAAGAAGAACCGCCGAAGAGGCGAAGGTCCATCGCCGAACCAGAGCAGAAGGCCCATCCAGAGAATCAATCTGGTGGAGAAACACCTGCTGAGAGATGGACGCACCCAGCTTTCCCGGAGGGAGTGCCGGAAACCCCGCCAGTGGCCAATGTAAGACCTCCACTGGACGCCTTGAGTCCAGAACTTCAGGAGGCGGCAGACCGACTAGACGACGTGCCAGGACCAGTTCGATGGCGGCAAGAGCCACCAGGAGCCAACCCATACTTTCAAGAGTCAGGTTGGTATCTACAACCCCTCGAGGAGGAGAGCTTGGAGGAGGAAGAACACGAACTGGACGTGGCGAGAAGAAGAACGTTGAAGGAATGCCACGACCGAAAGTGGAAAAGAGACAAATGGTCGTTCGAGTGGGACAAAGGCCAGCTGATTCGACATCACGAGAGGAGGAGGAAGGCCTGGTTTGATCCCCAAGTATGCGACGAGCCTCCAGTGCCAATGGAGTTCCTAAAGGAGGAGAAGACGATCAAGATGAAGTTCAACCAAAACCAAGAGCCAAAGACCTTGGAAAGGCACATACACCACCACGGGCACGAAACTCACTGGTGGAAGGGAGAAACCATCTTCTACCTGAAGAACCCCAAGGAGGCCAAAAGCTACCTGGCAGAGAAGAAGAAGGGCCAGGACGAAGCAGACCCGCGACTAGAGGATGAAGAAGGTCGCGAGGCATGGCGACAGGCAGATCTGTCAGAGTGGAACAAAGTCACCGGAAGTGGGGCAGTTCAGGTTCTAAGCCTTGAGAAGTCCCGGGAAGTCCGAGAGGAGCTGAAGAAAGAAGGAAAAGAAGACAGAATCCTGCCGACGAAGATCGCTCGCAGATACAAACCTGCGGAACAACCGGGAGAGAAGCCGGTCCGAAAGTCCAGGTTGTGCATCCGGGGAGATCTCGATCCAGATGCACTGGAACTTGAGCGGTTCTCGCCCACCTTGAACACGGTGAACTTCGGGCTGTTGCTGCAAATAGCTGCCAACGAGAACATGGTGGCGACCATCGGCGATCTGAAGAACGCCTTTTGCCAGAGTAGGCCTCTGTGCCGACCAAACGGCAAGCTGTACTTCCAACAGCCAAAAGAAGGGGTGACAGGGCTACATCCCGAGCAAATAGTCCTCATCATTGCAGGCTGCTACGGTCTGATGGATGCGCCATTGCACTGGCGTAAGAGCCTGACGGAGGACCTTCAAGCCCTTGGGTATGAGATTTCTGCCTTGGACCCATGCATCATGAAGCTCTACGATGGCAGCCGAAGCCGCCTCCTCGGAGCTATCGCCATTGAAGTGGACGACCTGTTCACTGTTGGACATGAAGAACATCATTCAAAAATGGCCCAGCTGAGGAAGAAATACACCTTCGGGAAGTATGTCAAGCTGAAGGAAGAGCCCATGGGAGCTGCCTTCAACGGAAGGCGCATCAGACAGATGGACGACGGGGAGTTCAAGATTGACATGCAAAAATTCATCGAAGAAAGGCTCCCAGAGATAGAGTTGAAGAAGGGCAGAAGAAGCGACCGGAAGGCTCCGGCGAACGAAGAAGAAAAGGCTATGGCACGAGCCACATGCGGGGCTCTCAACTGGCTGAGTAAAGAAGGGAGGCCAGATGCAGCAGGTCCTTCGAGTCTCCTTGCATCCAAGCTCAGCCGGCTGACGGTGGAGGACATCATCCAGGGCAACCAAGTGGTCAAGGCCTTGAAGGCGAGCTCGGAGCTTTGCATCCGGATCCAGCCCTTGAAGAAGATGAAGATGAGCGTCATCACTGACGCAAGCTTCGCCAACAACGGCTTTCACTCCCAAGGAGGGCACCTCGTGATTTCTCACGAGAGCCAGCTTCGAGATGGAGTCCCAGCCAAGACGAACGTGCTGGCATGGAGGAGCGGTAAACTGCAGAGGGTGGTTAACTCCACCCTAGCGGCAGAGACTCAAAGCCTTTCCAAAGGCCTTGGAGAGCTCATGTGGGCGATGGTGTTGCTGAAGGAGCTGACTGATGGAAAGTTCTGCATCCAGAAGTGGCGCCAGAACATGGAGGACGATCTGATGGTTTTGAGCTCGATGCGAACCGAGCAGACGCTCCAGCAAGCTTTGGCGGTGGTGGATGCCAAATCGCTCTATGACCATCTTTCCAAAGATGGAGCTGGAGGGGCCGACAAGAGGACGGCCATCGAGATCCAGATCATCCGCCAGGACTTGCGCACCATGGATGGCGAAGTGAAATGGGTGGACCACAAGTCCATGCTCGCTGATGGCTTGACGAAAGTGGGAGGCTCAAATGAGGCACTTCACGAAGTGCTCCGGACGGGAGTTTTTAGCATCCGCTCCACAGAGGAGCAGATGTCACTCCGAGAATCCGCAAAGCAGTCCGGCAAGACCAACTCGGATCTGCGACGAATTGGTGTCAAAAGCATTTTGGGGAGCTGTGAAACTAGCATGGCTGTGGCATGAACACCTTGACACCAATTCCCTGCGGTGATTGTGGCCCAATCCCAGGGGCCGTAGCTTCGTGCGACCTTCAGGTCCTTTTTACCCTGGATGGCCTAGGAAAAGCTTCGCGAGCCTGGCAGCCTCTCCACTTTGACAAGATCCATAACTATTCCAGTCCCATGACTGCTCCGGGATCTCAGGTTTAGTTTGTTCCTCTACGTCTCCTTCTTCCTGCTCTGGGGAAGTGTTGCAACGGACTCCTACCTCAAGGGCGACTTCGTGGAGACGGCGCATGCTCACGAGCAGCATCGGAGGCCGGAGCACCGGGCGAAGGCGTACGCCGCGTGTTCAGGGGCCGCGTGTAGAGACTGGCAGAAGGTGGATGTTCATTGTTGCAGGTGGCAGGTGGTGGTTGGTCTCTCTCTCTCTCTCTGTTGAAACTGAAACCATTGCTTTTTTTCTTGACCTCAAACAATTTGCGTTTTTGTCTCCGTCCCACTCCCTTCCTCAAGACCCAATGAAAGGGAACTACCCCTCAAATGGTTTGGAAGGTTTTCTGGTCTGATGATGATCTTATACAATAAATGGCACAAAAGATTGCAAAAAAAAGACGTGTTTCCTCTGGTCTGAAATGTGATGTCCCTCCTGGCACGTCACTGCATGAGGGCTTGGCTTCGACACTCAAGTTGCAATTAATTCAAGACTTATTTCTTTTGCTTCTCTACCTACCAGTCACTTACAATTAATGACTGTCACATGAACTTTTATCTTGTATCACACGTTGTCACGATCGGATCCTCCTTGACGCTCTCCGCTCTCTAAAACCCGACCCTTCTCCGCTCTCCCCTCCTGCTTTCTGCTTCCGCGAGGCTCTCCGGAGAGGGCGACATCTCGGAGGAAGCGGGACGTCGCCTGGCTGAGCCGCGCTCGACCGGTCAAGCGGACGGAGGTCGAGTGAACTCTCGGGTCGGTCTCCGGGCGAGACAGCCCGGCCGAGCTCGAAGTCGACATCTCACCGGGCTCCTGAGACCAGGCGTTTTGGGACCTTTTGGGGAGGCTTAGCTTATTATAAGAGAGGGCTTTTTTCAGAGTGGAGAGGACCTACTGGTGGCCTTCAGGCTTGCGGGCTTAATGTAGAGAGACGACTGATAAGGGTGGAGAGGGGCTGACTTGAGAAGTTTACTCAGTTTACTCGTGTGCTTCTGCTTCTGCGTTTTTTGGGTGCACTCATACATGAAGCGCCCCTAAGAATCATTGCATGATAAAGCTTTAAGAATCATTCCCTGAACATTCTGAACACCGCAGAGGAACCACGCCCCATCGGGCCCAGGTCACATCGTGCAGACGGAGCCTCGGCTGGATCGAAGGGGTCCGTTTTAGATCGACTTCACCAAGCAGCACCACCTGGTTATTGGGTGTTTTTTTGGATGGAGACATAACATGACAGAACGTTGGGAGGTCTATAAACCACCCAACCTGGGTGGTGCTGGAAGACATTGTTTTCATTTTTTGTTTTTAGATCTCTGAACTGGGACCTGAACTAGTGGTACATGTGCCATAGGCCTTTATTGGTAGGCTGTTGAAGCTCTCTAGGTCAGCAAAAATCCATGCTACTTCAATTATATAATAACCTGGAAAGCCAAACGCCAAAAGTGTTCATGGTAAAGAATCCTAACCTGCATGTGGTTCTTGTCCGAATACATAATATTGTTTTTACCCGTAATGGTCAAACCTTACAAAGTATTTATTGCAGGCCTACCCGCAGTAAAGCCGCATTGTTTCGACATTTTGTTGATTATCCCAGCAAGAGACCCCAAACAGATCCAAACAGTACAGTAATATTGCAGAAGATCACCATGATGAGTGAGACAATGTTGTCCTTGTGGCAGTTATGGTGGTGGTAGTCATGGTGGTGGTGGTGGTGGTAGTAGTAGTGGTAATGGTAGTGGTAATGGTAGAGTGGTAGTGGTAGTGTGGAGGGGTAGTGTGGTAGTGGTAGTGTGGTGGTGGTAGTGTAATCTGCACTGTAAGGTTCACAAAGTGCTGTGCCTGCCACAAACATGTTGTTGAAAACACGCAGTAAACAAGATTCAATCGCCATAGCAACTGTCACAGAAGTGGCTCCAGATAATGAAAGCCGTAATGACCGAAAAGAATGGTCAAGACCCTTTGACCCTAAACAAGGCTAAGGATTATAGCTTTCCAGGTATTTATATATACACTTTAGGGGATCAGGGGATCAGTCACCATGTTGAGGCAAAGTCTCCGATCTCAGCTTTGGAATAAGACTTGTATAGGCCAGGGATCCGCAAGCGGAATCCCCCCTTGGGAAACCCGAACTGAGACTCGCCCGGCCTGAGACGAGACTCGGCGAACGCCACTCGGATCTGCCCAGGTGGTGTGGAATCCGTTTCCAAACTCCGCTTTCATAGGCCAACTCCGAGTGCGGGGTGGAAAAAGCGAGGGTTCGCTCCCCAGCTGCTTTAGCTTGGGAGGCTGTTTTAGCGCAGAGAGGTACATTTGGGGTCAGCTTTTCAAGCACCGCAGGTGGTTTTTTCGCCAGGCCCGCCAGGCTTGAAGTGTACTCGCTTGTTCCTGCTGTATCGGTTTCTGCAACTCTCAACTTCCGCCGTTCCGCGGTCCAAAATACTGAGCCCCCCATTCTTCTGATTCTTTAGAAAGCCTAGAGAGCTGAGTGAAGCTTTCTTTTTGGAATGGTCTATTTGTTTGGAAAACAAGGGACTTTCTCCGTTCACGCAGGCATCATCATTGCATCTCTCAGCCAATCCCTACAGTGCCTCATCGTGGCACCCCGTTTGCTGCAAAACATGGCCAAGGACGGCCCGTCGGACGAGACGAGCGGCGAGACGGCGTCGACCAGCGCGTCCAGGATAGCCCTGACACGACCCATAGCACTGGCAAGTTGACTCCCGATCACGTGGGTGGTTGCACCACCAGAGGTCAAGGTGGGTTGAGGCTTTCCATGTCATGTCCAGTCCCATGGAGTGGCAGGGTTGAGACCTGCGACATTCACCAGTCCCACTTTGGACCAACTTGGATGGTGTAGAGGTTCGCACCTTTCGCGCGGCCCATGAAGCGTGCGCCGAAATCCACCAATTTCATGACAGATTCAATTGACCCAAGAATGCCAAAGCGGTCGCTTTCCGTCTTCGCTCTTCGCACCTCTCATCCCCCTCGCACCCCCAAGCAGTGATCATCCAATCGAGGACCGCTTGATGCCCGCCTTCCGGCCGCTGGAGGGCTTGTCCTCCAGCGGCGAACCCGTCCGCGCGCTGCTGTTCACTTACTTCGCTGCGGCGCCGCGACCGCGACGGGCGACGGATCGGGGATGACAGGCATTTCTTGCATCGGTTTGGAAAGAGGGAGTGGTGTGGCGTGGAAGAGGTAGGGAGAATGTATACGTAGGTTTGGAGGTGTAAGTGTGTGAGGGTGAAGGTGCACACAGGTGTATACAGATTATTCCTGTATTTTGTGGTGAGTTGCGGAGGACATGTTTGGTCGAGTGAAGTGATCCACAGAATTCCACTGCTCTTATGTCGAAAGGTGCGGCCGGCCACAGCAGCATGGCATTGATTGGAATGATAGTATAAATTGGTTTGGTAGAAAGGAAGACGTCATATCAGGAGATCCGTGTTTGGGGTGTCTATTGGAGGGTAGCTGTGCCGATTCTCGAGTCACTTAGAGACTGAAAACAATTCCTGTAGGAACTGATGGTCACAGAATCCGTATGGGTGATGATGTGTGGTTTGATAATAGGGAGACCAAAAAGCAATTGGTTGGGGTTTCCCCAGTAAAATTGGCACCCATCTCTTATATTAACCCTAGCCCCAGAGGAATGCGTCCAAGAATTCTCCCACTGATTTGCGAAGAAGGAATTCCATGAGTTGTCCACGCACGTGGAAACAAGTGATTTTCCACCCCCGAAGCACACAGGGTGAAAGGGTCCAAGAGAAACATGCCCTTGGGCTCCAACTAGCTCCTGAGAAGATGATTGGGGTGGGTGCCAGGGGGGTCTAACCACCGAACCTGAGGATATGGGACAGCCCTAGGGATGACCGAGATCCTGCAGTCTCTTGTGTTCCTATAGGAACAGTCCTGCCTTGTGCAGAATCGCAGAAACGCACCCATTTTCTTTCATCAGCTGAGGCATTATTGGTGCTCATTGGGGAGCTGGAACTAGTGGCTCCACTCCTCTCCATGCGCCTGTTTCGATTTGGGAACACCTCGTCGTTTTGTTCTCTGGGTGGGTTTTTGAGGCAAACATGCAGGTTGATGGTGTTTCTGTTTTGGGATATTTTGGACGATCTGAACTCCAAGGGTGTTGGAAAGCAAGTGGGTAACCCCTGTATGGAAGATCTGGCCCTCACACGCAGGGGCAGTCACTGGGGCGACGGTGAGGAGATCGATGGTTTGTCTTTCTCAAATTCGAAGAATGACGGAGCCGTGCTGGCTGAGCCGTGCTTCTTTGCCAGAATGCCGTGCTTGTCTTGGCTGCAGTTTCAGCACTGATACGGATTCAATTCTACTTGAATACAACATTTGCACGACTCTTCAGTTGGTATACAGAAACTCAACCTTTAAACCTCTCATCTTAAGCCTTAAGCCACAATCACATTCGACAGGCCTTTTCAGTAATCTGCAGTCAGACACCCAAGACTCCAGATTTTGGTCAAAATCCTTCAAAATCCATTCAACTCAATTTTCCGCTTCCCTTCCACATCTCAGCCACACCTGACTACAAAATCCTCTTGAGGATCCAACTGCTAAGCCCAGCCCAGATCCCCCAACAAATTGATCCCTTTGCCCCAACAAATCCGCCCTAAACTGCGCGCCTCATCCCTGCGCGCCTCGCCTAAACCGTTTTTCGGCCGAGCTCGCTCCAAACCGATGAATGGAGTGGTGCGGATCCATGGCGGGCGACGCCCCAGCAAGCGGGACGGCGGCGTCAGGCAGGAAGCGACGGCAGCGACGGCAGCGACGGTGGGGTCGGTGGAGGTCTGGACGATGGGGAGCAATCAAGGCGATGCAGCGATGCATCGCAGCTGTAGAGGAGATGTTAGCGACATTCGTAGTTTGGAGATGTTAGCAGCGTGCTCCACTTTCGCCATGGCAAGTATCCTAATTGGATCAAAACCCGTTGCCCAAGGGTGCTCAAAACCCACCTGGCTGAAGAGCCGTCAGGGAGTGCATCGAGGGCCGCTACATGAACCATGCGGCCACCGGTCCAGCTCAGCGGACGTTGAAAGGCCTGATGGGGGCGGTGAACACCAGGTGGGCACCAAGTTCTGATGCCATGGTTGGCACCTTCAGTTCATGACCTCTTGGAAGTCTTGAAGTGACCACATCCTATAGGATTTTTAGGGCACCTGTCGTGACCGAAAATCCGGAGATCTCAAGAGGACGGTCATGTACTGAAGGTCCTGAATCCCTGGTTATGGTTGTTCTTACTATACTGTGTTGATTTGGTTTGTAGGATCGATGTAGGATCGATGCAGCTTCTGTGCATTTCGACCCAACCTCGCCCTGGGAGGGGGAACGGTCCTTTGGTTTTTTCACAGATCTTCGGGGCCAATTCCGATCACACTTGGCCCCAGAAGACGTGCCATCCTCCGCAGTTCGGGATCCTTGAAAGACCCATCCTGCAGCGGGATGGGACCCCCACTCGCAGAACACAGATGGTTGCAACCTCAAAACGGCAAAAGATCATGAACGCGTGGAATGTGCCAAACGGCGTGGATGGCTTCATGTCCCCGTGTCTCAGGCGAGTCCAGCGCCCAGCTGCTCAATGGCTATAAGCCCCATGACACCGCGCCACCCAAAGGCGAGGAGAGACGGAGGTTTTCTGGGCCATGGAAACGGAAAAGACTCGGAGTGGATGCCATGGATGATGGATGTGTGACAAAGACCGGGCTCAAATTCGCAGGTGTCCACCGGGCTCTTTGTGCGGTTTTGATTGAATTCTGAGGTGCACAGTTGATTCTTTCCACTCGGTGTCTCGAATCACATCACGGTATATTGCATGTGTATTCAATTTCACACATATAATCTTGTTGAGCATACACTACTACTCCATGAGGTTTTCAGGGCCCGGATCGGACCGGAGACACCACTGATCGCCAACAAGCCGCTGTTGCACTCCGTAGGTGTCCACCCACAGCGGCCGCATGTGCCCCAACCGCACGCGCCGCGGGACGCGCCGCGGGACGCGCAGCTCGCAGCGCCGCGGGAAGCGGAAGCGCGGGAGGTGCCGCCGTGGATGCAGCCGCCGGTGCGGCGGAATCGCGACCTGGCATCGTTTCGGGTGAAAGCTGATTTCGTAGGGCTCAAAGTACCTCAGAAGGTTAGACCTCCAAATCCTCCACCTTGTCTTTGAAGCTCTATCACTAGGGGATGGAAGATTTGGGAACACTTAGGCAGCTTCCACCGGGCAAGTCATTGTAGAGGGAAACCAGGTTTCAACGGGATGGATGGCCAATGAAACGATTTGGGGTATCCTGGTATCCCAGCGCCACTATTAGCAGGATAATATATTGTAATACTATGGACCACTCGTCCATCAACCACGGCTGAATTCAGCATGAATTTTCTGATTCTTTCACCGCCCCTTCATCCTTTTAAACTCTCAGTTCCTGAAAGGGTGAATTGCACCATGAGTCGTTTTCACCGTCATTGTATACACAAGGGTGTTTCATCCAAGACTGTGATTTTGAGTTTAACCTGGAAAACGATACAGGGCGTTCAAAAGAAGATACTGTACCTGCAAAGATCCCTAAAGTTAATACAGCTTCCTTGGATGTTGATGCACCAACCCGCAAAACCCTGCAAAACGATATGGGAGGTCCAAACTTTGAATCACTGAACATATAAGTAGTATACGAGTATATATATACATACCTTTAAGTGACATGATCGTGTCGTGGAAGTGGACGTCCTCTATTTGGTATTTGATATACGGTATTTGCATGTCTTTGCCCTCCACGTCGCCCTGAACACGTCTACGATGATATTTTTTCACTATAGCAACTGGTCTAGCTGCTGAGTCTAGCTTTCCAAACCACCTCGCAGACTGTGAAGCTTTCCCTCCGCTGTTTCTCGTGGAACGCACCACACTCCTCGCCCATCTGGAGGCCACGAGGTGGCTGTGGTGCCGCCCTGGGCGCAAGACGCTGGGGCGGAGAGATCCGCGGTGACGTCGCCTCCGGGGTGTATCCCATTGGTATCCAGGGGATATCCCAGTACCAGCAACAGTGGGTAAAACATGAACCGATACTTCGACCAAGACCTGCAACTGAACCAGAACCATCCACTGAGCCCTGGTGAATGGGATATACTACCCAACATGTACCAATCAATTTGGGAGAGGTCTCCACAGCGCTCTTCGGGTCAGAAGTCTTTGTGCCACATCAAACCTTCTCAGTTTCGGTGGGACACATCCACCTTCTGTATAGTATATATGGGTCAGTCAGTCAGTGTCAGTGTGTATGGGGAAGGTAGCTCAAAACTAAGGCACGCACGAAAATTGCGAATATCATACCACCGACCCAGCCGAAACGGACATTCCATGGCATGGGATGGAACGGGTCGACCCCGATGAATGCGGAGGTTCATGCCATTTCATGCTTGGACGCATGGACGAAGCTAGCACTAAACCACGACCTGGTTACCTTAACCACGACACCTGCGGACCTTAACCCCTGAGAGGGCCGGGCAGGTGCATGTTTCCAGTTTTTTTTCGTTCGGTGGGAGCATTCCTTTGTTTTTCAACTTTGTTCGATCGTAGATGACTGGTTTTTCTTTAGAATCTTTAAACTTTTTTCAGGTCGGTTGGACTTTTTCCCTTGATTTTGGGATGGCTGAGCTGGGGATGGAGATGGCTTGGCTGATGGCTGGAGATGGTTGGGGATGGGGATGGCTTGGAGTATCCCCGGTCCCTCGACACTGGGACCTTCAGAACCCTTGAACACCGGGACTCCAGTTCAGGACACCTTTGCGATGCCCTTCCCAAAGCGGGAGGCTCCACGAAGGCCAAGCCTACAGGCGAGAGCGAAGAGGGCCCTCAGTGCCGGGCCCCCTGGGTTGAACCAGCGGCAGAAAAGGCAAAATTGGAATTTTGATGCAGAAGCAGCGGAACATAGCGGAACAATTGATTCGATACACGTGTTTCTGTTAAGATGTTTCGTGTTCTATTGGCCTGAGGAGGACGACTAGTGACAGAGAGAAATTAGGAGTTAGATGGAGTTAGGCCTGTAGTACTTCTGCTGGAACTCCTCTCTGTGTATTAGCCAGTTGTCGCATCATCTGAATGGAAACATCTTCAGAACCACCTTTGGTTTGGGGAAGACATAGAGCAACAAGCACCATCACTACAAAGTTCGGGTGGTGAACCCCCCTGACTATGTGTTTATAACATTGAATCGCAAAACATCTGACATCGGTGGCGATGGAACATTATTTTTCACTCTCTTCTTCAAAAAGTCAATGTTTGACACGTCCAGACAACTAAACTGGTTGGCTTTAAATATGGTGAACATGGTTGAAAACCCTAGGGATCCAGTCGTACCGAACCTCAGGTACGGTGATGTGTTGTCTCCACTGTTATTTGCCGGTGCCAGCCAGTCGGGTCCAGTCGTTTCGATGAGGTTCGGAACGAAAACGGATCGCTCGGGTATTGGGACTCCTGAGACATGTTGCCATGAAGCCGCGAAGCCACAGGAGCCCAATCGACGAAAGAAGGAAGGCCACAGCTGCGGAGAGCGGGGGAGTGCCGTTCCGCAACACAAGGTCAAACGCAAACAGACACAGCTGCAAGACTATAGCAGGGCCCCCTGAGGGGTGGTTAATGGATACCCCGTAACCTCTAAGGAGCTATAATTGGACACCCCTTAGGGGGCCCCTGGCAGAGGGTGTGTATAGGGTGTCCCATTGCCAGCAACAGTAACAATAAAGATGATTTCTTGTCACTGAAGTTTTGAGAAAGCCATACGGTGATGGGAGACACATTCATGTAGGCTTTGAGGGTCCAAATACCATCTGAGAAGGTATGACTGGATCCCCAAGGCATCATCCACTGTTACCCGGTAATGGGATGTACCGCCCAATGTCAGACAATCTTCGCTGGACAAGTCACTCGAAGGCCACCTATGATCGTGTCCAAGTGAGAGGTTTGTAGATGGGAGATGGGGATGATGGTACATGCAAGGGTTAGATGGTTTTCATGACCCGACTTGGACATATGAGTGGAGAAGGTCGCCAGGTAAGGACGTTCCAGCGCGGCAGATTCGGTCGCAGGCGAAAATCCCATGGCTACGGAGGTTCGTGGCCAGGCCACTTGGCAGTGTTACGGGAGCATCCATTGGGTCGTTTTTTTTGACTCCTGTTGCTCATTGGTTATGGCCCACACTGTAGGTCAAGTGGCACATCTTCTAGTCCAGATCAGATTGGTCAGGACTTGGGGTATAGTAGTGGAATGTGGTGGAGATGTTCAAAAAACCATTTGTTTGTGGATCGAAAAAGCTGAGTTAGCCTTGAGAATCTTTGTGCAACAAACACATGTCTGACTTCAACACAGAAAGTCCTTCACACAGAGTCCAAAGGCTCAGAGTCTGGACCCGAACCCGAACTCGCGGTCCGGGTGAAATGACCCGAAACCAACATCAGGCAGTTGGTTCGAACATCCATGGACATCCTCCACCTATGGTGCCATCCTTCAAGCCTGGTGTCGGTGCGCTTGGATTTTGGTCCAGTCATTTAGGAATCGGCTAGATCCTTCTTCTTTGTGCCAGGAGTCACAGGTCGTTCGGGGTGCCAGTTCCGAACTGCCCAGAACTCACATCCACTCTCTTAATTAGGGACTCAAAAGCACCCGGAGCTTCGTCACTCCTGGTGCAAGTGTTTATGTTCTGTTTCTTGAGAACGGTTGCCGCATGAAGTTCGCAATGGAGGATTTCGCCGCCTGACATGAGATCCAGAGGAAATGCAAAAAGAAACGTCACGGCCATCTTGGGGGGGACCTACCAAGCGATGTTCATGAATTTCCACAAAAAAACTTCACTACAATCCTAGCTTAGTAATCTTATAGTCGTTTCTCCATATTTCTCCCTTCTGGTGGTGAACGCGGTGTGAACACTGTTCGGATTGCGTATTTTCTTCACACCTTTTTTTTTCTTTTCAGCTCAGGATGCTGGGCCAGTGTCACTTGGAGAGCAGGGAAGGGCGAGTGTGAAGGCTCCCTCCTCCAGTCTCATGACTGGAGGAGCTTCAGGTCATTCAGGTCTTCATTTGGAGGAGCCTTCACCCTGGTTTTGCTTCAGGTGATTGATTCTTTTCCCGAATCCCCTTCTGGTGAATCTGTTTATGTATTCTTTCCCAGCTCCAGCAAATCCAAGTCACCTCCAGGGGAAGGTCCCTTTTGCGAGTTGACCGGGTCTGACTGTCGGACATCTGTGATGCACGACGCGAAAGTTGACCAGGGGTCTGGAGATATCTGGAGATATCCTGAAAGAGGAACCAGTGTTTTGGGATCCTCCTAAGTAGGTCAAGCGCCCAGGGATTCTCTGGGATAGATGGAGCCCTTTCAAGGTCAGTGTGGCCCAACAAGAGTAGGGCCGTCTCCACATGTGCCGGCAGTCTACATGTGCCGGCAGTCTTCAAGAGACCCAGATGTATATGATGTATATGTAAGTCCAGTCCCAGACACTCCATAGGACTGGAAGGATGTTACCTTAGGATTCTAACAACCATTGCTAGGGTATATGGCCTGTGAAAATGGTCCATCCATGTTGGTAACTATTGCAGTCCTTTTCGTTTGGTTTGGGATTACATGGATGCATGGGTCCTAAATGGGGGTCAATGTAAGCAGCTACTTCCCCTAAAATCTGGTCGTAGCTTCACAAATGGTCGGACCCTCAAAGCCTACAAGCCACCCTAACCCCTAAACCCTACCTACAATCATCGTATACCAAGGGTGGCAGGTGATCCGGGTCTCTTCGTCTTCGTTAGGAGGGACGTCTGTGTGCCCTATCGCCGAGATCCGGATCTAAGGAGGTCAGCTGTGCCGAAAGTCAAGTGAGGAGGGCCCAGCCGTTCTCTGGGTCCGAAGAGAAGGGTCGCAGGTTGGAGAAGGGTCGCAGGTTGTCATGTCATGTCATCGATCATCTATTCATGACATCTCCATATATATATATATATATATGTTCCAAAGAAACACCTGTGTGTCCATGGCAAGTTCTGAAGATGTTTGGTCGAAGCGAAAGCATCAGTTCTTGTTCCTCAGAGACTCCATGGGACTGGTTACTTACACTGACCCCTGAAGCAATCACCCCAAGGTTGGTAAATATGCCATTCCCATTGGTCATCTCCGGGTCAGATCCATATTCCAGGCTGTTGATTGGAGGAAGGAGGAAGGTGTGCCCCTGTCACATCCAGAGCTTCTTCCACCACCAGACCTGCCAGAAAAACCGCCTCCACCGGCGGTCCGCCGCTCCGGCCCTACGCCGCCCGCGCCGCTCCTTGCGCCGAGGCACGGCTGCTCGGTGGCCTTGGTGAGCCAGGCGGTGGAGCCCAACTTTCAGTACCGGCCCTACATGGAGGAGCCTTGCGGACCCGGGGGACCGGGGCCAGACCAGACCGGGTCGACTTAGTTCGGTGAGGTCTCTGGATCGGGGCGGGTGGGGAGTCCTTGTCCTGTACTACATACATGTGAGGTTTGTTATAGTATGGGCCGGTGGAGGAAAAACACATGTCGGCATATAGATATGGCCTAAAGATCAGAAAATACCCCAATTCAGTCGCCGGGAGCCCTCGATCGAGTCGATCGAGTCGTGAACCGCGTGGATGAAAAAACCAAGAGATGCAGCGGATGTTCGAAGAGGAGATAGAGATAGACACAGATGAAGGATGGGAGGATTTTTCTAGTGGATTTTTCTAGGAGCAACTGAGTCTTCTTGAGACCATGATCTCTCAGAGTATTGGAGTTAATTTGAGGAACTCGAGGGGTGAGGATTCAGGTTGAGCGCAATCAGTGGCGAGGATGGTTGCAATCAGTCCCTTCCCTTTTCTTTTTTTTTTGTGTGTGTGGGACGGGCAGAGTGAAGTGTTAATTGAGTTTGCTTACACGTACCTTTGTCTTGCATGCAAACATATTTTTTAAAGGTAAGCAGGCACGTTGAGACATATTGTTTGCTGAATCTAGGAGACAAGATGATGGTTTCCATCGTATATATCCTGGTGGTTTGGACCTTTGGTGCTTTACAACGTGCGCACACATGGCTGAGCTTTGCGCGACTGGGGGAGCTTGCTTCAAGTGGCTGAAGGTGCCTGTCTCGGGTCACAGAGACCTCCATCCGCATGTAAAAGAGCAGGTGGCCTCGAAATCTTGTGGCGGATGTCTATAATGGGCTGGTCCCACGTTGAGGTCCATATTGCTTGGAGCAGCCTGTCCATTTCTTTCAGCGTCCAACAGGTGGCCCCCCCCTACCTGGCGCTCCAGCGCCTCCGATCCCCGTGAGGACAAGTACTCCATCATCGATCCCTTCATGGAGGGAGAGCTGCCCAACGAAACGTGCCTCGTTTGCCTCCCAAAAAAGGACGTGAACAGTGTTCAAAGACCATTTTGTAGAGGGTTTTTCACCAAGTGTAAAATCACGAGCAGCTAGCATTCTGGTGTTGAATGGATACTGAATCAATCGGTGGTTATTGGACGTCCAGGGAGAGACTATGGCGACTCGTGGTTTCATCACCAGGGTCCCTTTCTTTTGCACCAGTGCACCGGTTGCGGCACCATGCACCTCCTTCACGGACGCAAAGAGTCGCTCAGATCAGACGATGAGTTCACTCGGAAACCTTCGCTGACCCAAAGCGGTTTTGACTTAAGTTATCTCACGTCCTTCTGGCCGCCCCAACGAAACGCAACCACCACGTCCGACCTCGACTCCCCAAATGACCTCTCTCCGCTCTCTTTCGCTCCTTCCTCTCCTCGTTGACCAAACCTGAGACGCGACGCAGGTGGGGCTTCTTCGCAGTCTACGACGGCCACGGCGGCGCGGCGGCCGCGGAGTTCTGCGAGGCGGAGCTGCACAAGGCGGAGCGAGCTCCACGCGGTGGAACGGAGCGATGTGGGATCCATGGGAGGCGATGTGGTTTGGCCCAAAGGCTCCAAGTAAGTACATCAGAAGGTGGGACTGGGGTGGGACTGGACTGAGGGTCCAGTCAAACCGAACCTGAGGAGGTATGACTGGAGCTCGTTTGAGGCGCAAGATGTGTTTGCTGGGAGCATGAAGTTCATCCCCCTGCCCCAGTGAATGTTACACAAACCTTGCACTTCATGAGAGACTGAATTCGGACCACTAACATCCAAAAACTAAGCATTTGACTGCATGGTGAAATCACCGCGTGAGAAGCACCATATATAAACAATGGACACATGATCAACAACCAGCATCAGCATCATACAACAGGCCCAAGAACATGGAACATGACTATATCATCAACAGCTGACTTGTACCCTTTTTCCACTTTGAGACTGGTCTATGCCGAGTGTTTGGGACATGAACTCACCATCTACACCATGGAAATCCCCTGATCCGCTGCGGAAGCTACGCAGGTCTTGGCGTCGGAGCTGCGGACGGCCCTGCGCGCTGAAAAGCCGCGGAGACCATCCTCGCCTGTGCGGGATGAGGCACCGGCTTCGAAGCCGCGATGGGGTGGAGAACAAGACGGAGGAACTTGCATCCGATCCCCGATCCCGATGGTAGCAGCCCTTCGGGTCTGAGACCCGGTACTGGAGGTATGGAGAAAAAGACGTTGAACCTAATAGCCATGGCCTCCAGCCTCCAACCTACTCGTACTGGCGATGGCCTCCAACCGGAGACCGGCGGGGGAAGGACTGGGTCGACCATCCGAAGCGCTCGGATGTCCGTCCTCCCCAGGCAACGACCAGTCTGAAGTACGACGTACGTGGCTCACCTCCGTTCTTTTCATCCGAAAACGAGGAGATGAGAATGATGGATGTGGCAACCGATGGCTTTGGACGTAAAAGAGAGGAAGTTAGCCGGTACCTGGCATCGACCATGGCATCTTCTTGCCACATCAGATGTGGAGGATTGGATGTCATGTGTGGCGCAAGCAACTTCCAATGTGGAATAGAATGGCCTGCTGCGGATCTTGTAATGGGTAAATGCTGAGGGTATATGAATGTCAGATGATGATGTGTTTGGAGGGCGTCCTAGCATTCTGAACTCCCACGCTCTAGAATGCTCTAGACTCATCATCTCCGACTGGATCGTCGCACGTCGACCACGCCTTTTCCAGGTGGTGGCCGAGGCCCTGACGCGGACCTTTCAGAAGGCGAACCGCCGGCGCGAGTACGACTTCTGGGGTTTGGGTGGCGAAAGTGGGGTCAACAAGCGGAGTGAAACGAAGGTCCTTTTGGCAGATGTGGGACGATCTCACGACCCTTTTTTCATCTTTTTTCCTTTCCCAAAGGCCCAGAAGGGTGGGTCCTTCGGTGTGCTCTAGGTGTTGACCCTCAACTGGGCTTTTGGACTTAAGCATATTTAGCAGTTGGTTTGGGAGCAGCGTGTCCACGAGCCCAGAGACTCCACAATGCGGACTCACCGGCGTCCGAGCACCTGGGGGCGGGAGGTGTGGTGAATCGCGCCACATTCCATGCGGGCGGGCAAGGAACCCCGATTCGGGCAGCTCTCCACACCCTTCGTCACACCGACACCCTTCGTTGGACTGGTCCGTGTGACTCTGAAAAAAGGAAGGTCTTCAAGATAGATGGTGACGGATGCAGATCCATTCAGACGTCTCTACTTTGGGCAACACGGCGACTACCTCAGCTTGCCGAAGACCTTCCAGGACCTTCCGGAGTTTGTACCGAACTTGACTCCCTGGTTGCTTTGGTCACCGAAAAAGAAGATAACACCAACACGAAGGCGGCGCTCATGGACTCTAGCTGGTTGATATGCTTCGAGGGACCGACATCGGGCTGGCTGTTTGTTTGGCCTCCATGTTCGGTCACACACATGACCAAAACACACACATGACTCACATGACCAAAACTCTCTCCCATCTCTTCCCATCTCACTCCCATCTCTCCCATCTCCCATCTCTCCCAAAACACATGACCAAAAACTCCCATCCCTCCCCATCTCTCCGGACCCTTCGTTCATCCCCTCAGGCGGATGAGCAGCTGCGCTCCGTGGGCGCGTGGCGCTTCGGGTGCACGGCCACGGTCTGCCTGGTGCGGCGCCTGCCGCAGTCGCTGCGCATCCACGTCGGGGCAGCTGAGAGGAGGGCGAGCGCGGCGGGTGGAGGGGGAGCGGTGGGCTGGAGTGGTGAGGACGAGCCGGATGAGAGGTGGTTTGAAGGTGTGGAAGATCGAAACAAGCTATCAGGAGAGGTGGAGTCCAGGAAGATGAGAGGAGAGGTGGTTTGAAGAAATCATGAGATTGGTGATTGAAGAAGTTGATGGAGTATGTATGTGAGGTTGCAACCACAATTCAAAGGCAGTGAATACTCAGCTATTTGAACATTACTGTATATATTATATATGTTGCCACTGACTTTGGTGCAATGCTCCAATGGCCAATTTTGTTCCAGTGATGCACATGCTTTGTCGGGGCTCACCTTGGCCGACGCGATTGAAACGGATGGTGCGTCCGTGGCATTTGGCCCGAGCTTTTGCTCAATGAAAAGAAGAAATGTGTATGTCACCCCAAGTTAGTAATACTTCGAAGAGAGCGGCAGCCAGGATGGCGAAGAGTCACAGATCGATCATAGTCGATCGGATCGATGTTCTTCTGAACCTCTCGTGTTTGAGTGCTATGGCGCCAAATCTAAAATTGATATCAATATTGTGGGCGAACACTGAAAGGCCCTGGGGCTTTGGGTGACGTAAAGTCTCATAAAGTTGCGCAATTTAACGAACAGATGCAGAAGGACCTCCTTCAAGGCCTTTCCATCCAAACGTGGAAGTGATTATATATGGACATTCTTCGATCGGTTGAGAGACCCAAGGACCCAAAGATGAAGTGTTTCAGGCCCCCCATGCTCAGCATCACAGCATCACAGCACCACTCCCATCCGCTTCGTCCAACAATCGAATTCCCAGAAGTCTTAGCCCAATAAACCAACCACTCCATGTATGACTCTATGACATATATATATATATATATGCATTGGGGTGGTTGACCTGGGGTCCATGTCGGCATATATTCCATACATGGAGTGTCTGGGTCCACGCGTGGAGGGTCAAGAACACTTAGGAACCACAGAAAGCCGGGACCTCGCATCGTGAACGACGCGTTGATGTTCCAAACGTTCGACCTCCGATGTTCCACCATGGCGAGCGGAAGGGCTTGGCTTCTGGGATGAAACATCGTCCGGACGCTATGCTCGGGGGGCTTCCATCACAAGTACCTAGCTTGGCGGCCAAGAAGCTACGTCGACGGTAACAAGAAGCGATGGACGGAACAGCGGACCCGATGGTGGCATGATTGCTACGGACGGCTTTCTTTAGGTCGTTCCCTCCAGTCAAACGGGGCACCACATGGGTATTGTTATAACTTTGGCCTCTCTGGTGTTCTGATTTCGCTTGGGAGCTGGACTGGCAGGACTGCGATTCTTCACTTGTTCCTACCTGTTTTGGCCCACTGAATTGCGTGAATTGGCCCACTGAATCGGCGATGTTCCTTCTGGTTGGCCCGCGTCCGGTAAATGGGACCCCTGGGGATCGCCTTGGTCAATGAGGCGGTTTTGGTGACTGTTTTATGGATTGTTTTGTGTTCATTCAATGGATACCTCGAGGGGCCCATCCTCGCTCGTGGTATGTCACTCTTCCACTCATGTGGATGGCGGCGTCAAAGTCTCGGTCTCGCCCGAGCCTCCTGGGGGTGCGTTGACAGATCCATCGATGGGACGAGCTGAGAGCTACAGCAGGGGAGATATGACCATAGACAGACAGACCAGGAGTCACATGGATGGCCTGGGTGGTCTGGCTCGTCCCATCGTCCCATCGAGTGAGTAGACGGAGTAGATGGGGGTTTTCAAGAAGTGTTAGGCTACACCAGGAGTCGCTGGAGCAGGACGCCAGTTTGAAGAAGAAGTTTGGAACCTCGAAACTCATCAAGCCACCTGCTAAGTCGACCGAGAACCTCGATGACCTGGATTGTTTTTCCCCACCAGACCAATCAAATTGACATCAACCAGCTTCTTCAAAGTGACCCTTTACAGGCCTGTTGGTGACCTCAAGCCGGATGAAAAAAGGTCAGTTTGAAGAACCAGGAATGTTTGGGTTCTAGGCATACCGACGGCCCCGGCGTCACCGGTGACGTTCCCGGCACCGGTGACTTAGGAGAATCAGCTTGGTTCCAACCACTGTGGCCTGGTTGGCACCGGCCGCGGAAGATGGAGTTGAAGAGGGTCCCGGGCGCCATGAGCCATGGATCACCCTAGAGGGCTGAAGTGGCTGGGGGGATTGGGAGTGTCCTCACTCAAAACAAGGTGGAAACAGTCTCCTTGAGTTCCAAGAAAACTGAGCAAGGAAACGAGGGAGTCCGACTACACCATGAAAAGAAGCGAACACAAGCATCTTGGGTTCTTAAATCTCTCCCCCAGAGCTAAATGGGCTCAAATGTACTAAGCTCGTGTATGCCATCAAGCCAAGCTTGTGAACCTGAGCACTCTTGTGGCGGCTGGGGTGGGTTCCAACGGTACTTCTATATACATTAATATTGTTACATAGACCTATACTAGCACCCTCACTGCCAGGTCACCAATTGAGACCTGAGCATGGGCCCTTCCCAACCCTCGAAACCCGGAGACTTACTCTTTGTGCTGGTAGTCTATAGTAGTCCTCTTTCGGAGGGGTTCCAGAACTGAAAGATGTCCACTTTTCAAGGGTGGAAGACCGTGTTTGTTGGCTCGCTTCGAAGCTCGCTTGGATAGCCTCAGCGACCTCAGCCGCAGCAGATCCAGAAGATGTCACGGGTCGTCGCGTTTGGTGTTGGAGGTGTTGGAGGTGCGAAGGCTTGCGCCCTTCTGGACGTGATGTGACTTAAACCACCCGGATGTGACTTATGAAACACGTTTGCACATTTGCACGGCAGATGTGACTTAAACCGTCAAGATGTGAAGTGAGACTCCTCTACTTGTACTGGAATGTGTCCACAGATTGAAATTATCTTCATCGCTTGCAGACGATGTTGACATATTATGTTGACTGTCGTTCTTTAACTGCATGTTTGTGTCTTCCGGAAGACACTGAAAAGCCGTGTTGCGCAACATTCCTTTGCTGCACGCTCACGGAAGTGATGGCATTACGGCACTGCGAAGCCTGATTCGATCAGGCCCCGCAGATGAACGGATTCTGATTGTTATAGAATGACTTCCAGGGATTTTGCGGGATATGGGATGACATGGGGATCTACATGGATCTCCAGAAGATGCAGAAGATAAAAAGAGAATCTTCCGATCTTCCGATGAGTCTGTTTCATGCGGGAGTTTCTTTCTTTCCAACAAGTGACCTCTTGCAATCGGATGCAATCGCAAGAGCCGAGTACCGTACTAGGTTCTTTCATTCCGATGCTGAGGCTTTCTGAATGTCGTCATCCAAGCTCTTTGGAGTCTTGGAAGGATCATGAAGGATCATGGTTTGGAGTGGACCAACCCTGCCGAAAACCGAGAAACATCTCGAGATGATCATTGATTCTTGATAATTCTTGCCCTGCCAAATTGAGGGCCATGCAGAGCGATTCCCTCTGGAACATGAGTCTTCGTTACATGCAGTCATCGTATGTCATCGTGGCGGCAAACGCCCGTCGTGTCAGTCGAAGGACCTCTTTGTTGAAGAGACTGCCATGGTCAGTCGGTTGAAGGATAGTACATTGAGATTGTTGGCCGTTTGCATGTTCTAAGACGTTTCATTCAAGACGCCTACCGATCTGGTTCAGGGCTTTACCGACTGTCTGTGCAGAGCCCCGCGCTGTGGTCCGACCGAGGAATTTACAGGCGTTTCGGCAGCGCTTACTGTCCGAACCACATTGGCACAGCACTCCGCAGAGCTGCTGCTATTGCGAACTGAAGTCGCTCTTTCAGGCAACCAGTCAAACACGTTGGGGGGGCTTAAGGAAGACATACCAGGACCCTCCGTTCGGCTGTTTGGAGACCCTGGGCACCCTAGGTGAACCTGGGCACCGAGTTCGTTCGGAAACACCGGAAACACCCGAACGACCCATGTGGACGGTCCAGGGATGAAGAGCGACGTTGCATGTGGTATACACGTGGTATACACGCTGCATCGCGGTTGCATGTGGTGCAGGATTCTATCAAATAACAGATGAATAGTAATTAATTATGTGTTGACTAACGATTTGGAAAAGGATCAGAACTTTGATGACGCATCAGATGCATGCAATATTCAGCATTCTTCAGCGCACAAAAAAGGATGGCCGCATCCTGCGTCGGCAGTTTGCTATTCGATTGGTGTGGATTTGTTCGTCCTTCTGTTGTTAACTCTCTGGCCAACACGCCATCGAGATGAGCCCAGTTTCCTCTACCCAGCACACCAAAGGCCACCTGGCTGCCTTTTGCATGTTTGCTTTGCCTTCGCTTCTACTCGCCCCGCGAGTCGTGCGAGGACTACGCCCAGTCGCCCTCACAGTCCTTGCCGCCGGACGGCGTGCGACGCGCGCTGAGCAGTGTCTATGCAGAGGCAGCCGCCGGCGGACGTTTTAAGATTGGACGAATGGAGGATGCCAGCGAAACACTGGTGACCTGGAAGAAGGGTGAATGAGATTTTTTGTCCAGGTGACGGCGACGATCCTTTTTCTTGTGAGATGTGGAGCTTCCTGTTTGAAGAAAGCCCAGACCTGTAGATACCTGTATAGTGTCTTTCAGGAAAGTTACCCTTAGGCCTTTGGATTATGAAGGAAGTTTTCTCCAAACACGGGCTGTATCGCTGAGGAAGCGATCCTGGGCATCTTACACGCCTCCCACATGACGGTGCTCTGGATGACGTGGGCGGGTCGGGAAAGGGGGCTAGGTTGGAGGAATGACGAGTACGCAAGTGGCTGAGGTGAGGATGCAAAGGGCACAGCCACATGTTTGTCAAGTATATTTACACAAGTTTTACATTTCAAGATTTTCAAGCAAAGACGCTACTAGGGGCTCCTGGCATCGCTACGAACGGAGCAAAGACGCTACTAGTAACAAAGGGCATCGCTACGAACGGAGCAATCGGACGCTACTACAGCACACACACATCGTGTCTTTACA